CATGGGATAGTCAGTACTCTTCGCCAGGACAACTCAAAGACATTGATTCTTTTCTGTCATCCGTAGCCACCGACCAACTTTCAGATGCATAGCAAGTGATTGAAAAGACCATGTCTTGGATCAGGTGCGCCTTCATCTTCAAGCTCCTCAACCCTTTAATGAGATCCTTGACTGTGGATTCTCCCAGTGCCCTAAGTCTTTTGACTACTTGGCTCTGAGCGAAAGAGCCCCAATTTGTTGTTTTGTGTTGGTGTATTGTTTTCTAAACCCTCCAAAGCCTGGTACTTGCTGGTGCTGGGGTTGTGGAAGGGAGTTAGGAGTCAATGATTAAGAGGCAGGTAAGTGTGAGGCCGGACAGTTGTTCACTGACCACCCTCTGGCCAGAGTATGAGCCCTGCATGACCCACGTGGAGGGGAGGGACCATTCTCATCCCTTAGCCTGGAGACATGCGGTAGCAGGGCAGAGCTACTCTCTTGATGAATTTGGCCTCCCAAGAGACCTACGGAGCCCACTGTGAGAGCCAGGAGATACCCCTAGTGCCCCAGGCCTCTACCACCTTCACAGGTGCCTGAGCACCTTGGACCAAACACCCCCCCCCCACACACACACACCCTCCCCGGGGTCCCGCTTCTCTGCCAGTTCTGGAGAATTCTGAGCTTGAATGTTCACAGAGGGCATTCCCCTTGCTTTCTGAGGGGACGTTGTTCACACTTGCTGATGACAATGTACGTGGATGGTGGGCGTCCCAGGGCCCTGGAGGAGTGCCAGCTGGAAGATGTTGGTACCCTCACACTCTGGGACCTGTCCTCAGCACCCAACATGTGCACAAATATGTACACGCGTGCCTGTGCTGGACATGATATATTCCTAGCAGTAGGCATAAGATTCTTATTCCTCAAGAAATAAAGATTCTTGACAGACCAGCTCTCACAGAAAGTGTAGGTGCTTTGGAAGGTCCTGGGCAGCAGTGGTGGGTGTGGAGAGGCTCTTAGAGGTCAGGGGTGGGTGAACCAGCTCTTCATTCAACAGGTCTTCGGTGGCCTCTACCATGTTGTTAGGTGTCGTCAAGTACGACTCACAGCGACCGTCTCCTGTCCTGTGCCATCCTCACAAATCTCTGACACACTAGAGCCATTGCCACAATCACCTTGCCACCCACCTGCCTAAGGGTCTTCCTCTTTTGCTGTCCCTCCACCTCCCCAAGTACGATGCCCCTCTCAAAGAATAATCTCTCTTAGCAAATTGCCCAAAGGATGTGAAATGAAGCTTCACCATCTTCGTCTCCAAGAAGCACTCTGGGCGAGCTCTGGTGGCCTAGTGGCAGGAAACTGCACTGCAATCCCAGAGGTACGCGGTTCAAATCCACCAGATGCTCTGCTGAAGAAGGAGGAACAATTGCCTCCTGTACCAGTCTCCAACACCTCAGCTCAAAGGTGTCAATTCCTTTGTCATCCTTATTCACTGTCCAGTTGTCAGATGCGTAGCAAGTGTGTGCAAAGGCCATAACCTGAATCAGTAAGTAGAAGCTCTTCCTTGGAAAGGAACATCAGGCTTTGAAAGGTGGAAGGTGAGCCTAAGACAGGAAGACCTTCATAGGGTCGCTGAGTCAGACTAGATAGCATCTAAGCACTGGCAGCCTGAGGTTACCATGTGTCACCATCACTAGAGGCCAATGGACTCCGTCCCAGCCTTCTAGATAAAGGACCATCCATCCTGCCTTGCCTGCAGGTCCCCACAGCCGGAATATGACAAACCTGACCCTTTCTCCTTCATATACGAGCAGAGGCAGTGACTGTGAGCTGGCTGTTTATAGCTATGCTCTACCTGACATTCTTTTTGCGCAGGGGCCATGCTAATCTTCTCTGTATCGTTCCAATTTTAGTATATGTGCTGCTGAAGCGAGCATGGTAAATACTTCTTAAATTTTATTCTTGAATTTGCAGTAATTCAAAGATGACAAAGGCCCACTATAAATGGGTACACCACAGATATTATAAGGCAAAGAAACCAAATTATTCAAAGATTAAAATAAAACCGAAATATACTCCATTTGGCATTCACTGATAGTCTGTGCTGTGGAATTTCTGATATGTTCCAGAAGATACGTTGCCTAAGTTTCTATTATTCTAAGTACCTTTTTTTCAAACATTCTTCTAGGTGGTATAGCACTGGTCTGTGCGTTGCTGTACAGAGGTAACTCAGTGATGTGCCAATCGTGGTAATGGGCACCCACGGTGGACAGTGTTGGCTGGAACTTCCCAATTAAATCAAGCCTGGAAGCAGGAGCGGCATCCACTTCCGAAATGGCTTGTCTCCGGAAACTCTATGTACGAACAGCGCTCAGGCTGTTTGTTCATAAGGTCACTATGAGTCGTCTACGACTCGACGGCATTAAACAAACAAAACAACAACCTTTATCTTGAAGGAAAAAAGGATGATTATTGGGTAAAAATGAAAAATACATTATTTTTTTTAACAAAGGATGATCTGTGTACAAATAAAATTTCTGATAAATTAACAAAAGAAGTTTAGAAAGTAGACATTTTTTGTTTATAAAAATAAATAGTATGAATTTATGTAAGACTGACATTACATGATTTTTTATGAGTGTAGAAGTCATCTTAATGGTTGTCTATTATAGAAAAGCTTTTACGAGAACATCATTTTTTAAAGAAACCTATATATCCTCTTCATAATTAATTCGGTTGATTTGTGTCTAAATTTTCCATGCCTTTTACCCGACCTGTTACACGCCTTTGAGATATTTTGCAGTTGTTGTTGCTCTATTCAAGACATGGCAACAAAAGAGAAAAAATAACTCTAGTCAGTGATGCCAATTATTTAATTAGCATCTCTGGCAAATAACTGGATCTTGAGATGGTGGTAGTAATTCATTGTTCTATGAAATAAGGCATTGTTCTTTATTCTGAAGGTTTCATTTATCTGTTTTCTATGGTCTTATGAACTGAAACAGCTTATAGAATTAGCTAAGCTCACCAACAAGACAGTAAATGGAAGTCTTATTGTCTGAACTCTGTAAGGTGATGCAATACTTTATTCTACTTTAGAAAACCTGGTTTCTCCAGCTGGCATACCCGACATTCTTGAACCAAGGAGAACAGGAGCCAGGTCTGGGAATGTTCTGGAAGTGGTCAGGGACAGTGGTGTGGGTGGCCCCATAATCCTTACCCTCTTCTCCTCTCTTAGTGACAAACCTCTTGCCCAAGAAAGCCGTCATTTTTAATTATCACAATTTTTTTATTAAAATACTGTTATACCCATTGGAACGCAGCAGCATTCCTGGTACAGGGTGGCATAACAAATAGCCAAGTTTACATTTTAAATATTTACGATAACTTAAACATACAGACACACATCATGGTCTTTGGCAGAAAAATGTTCACAGCACAAAAAAAAAAATACTTTAAAGGAAATACCAAATATTAATTGAAAATATATTAAGGTGTTGTGGGTTGGTTTTTTTTTCTTTCACAATATTTTTTGTCTTTTTTTTTCCCTTTGCTTTGTAAACAATGCACATGAACCAAATGTCCTATTCAGCTTTAAGAAGGGGGAAAGGGGTACATGTGTAAAAAAAATATGCAAATGTCCAGCAAATGCAAATGTTTAAAAAGGAAATCTGAGGAACCATGGGGATATATGATGACACATACAGAACCTAAAAATGGTAAAAGAAATAAAAAGTAAATAAACCCCAAAAAAAACCAGATTCAAGGATAATCAAAACAATCAAGACATTTGCTAAAAAACCATCAATCAATCCTGGGATTGAGTCGGGGGAACTCCTTAAGACCAGAAGGTAAAGCCTGCTGCAGCTAACAGGTTGCCAAGCAGAGCATTTCACCCCAAATCCAAAGTATTTGGCCCCGCTTCAGGGTAGAGCGGCATGAATAGCTTGAGAAGCAGGCCTCATGGACACCACTGTGAGACAGAGCTCCATTCTGAGGATTCTTGAATCATATCTTGAAGTTCAACTACGTTTCAACAGGATAACTCCCCCCTTTCAATCCCTCCCAGTCAAAACAAGTCATGGGAACATGGTAACTTGTCTCATTTCCTCAGAAAGCATGAGTGTTGGGGAGAGGGGCCCCCCCCACACACCAAGGCCACACATCAGCATGACAGACATCCACGTGTCGTGGCTCGGAGTTCAAAACCAGAACAAGTCAACGTCTCCGGGACAGGATGGAGACCCACTTCAAGAATCTGGTGATGGGATCCCACAGAAACTTAATGCAGGGTTGAAGATGGAGAAAAGATAGTCAATATCTCAGGAATCCACCAGCGTCAAAATCCAAGGCCAAGAACTTGAGAAGGAGAAATAACTGGGAGGCCCGTCAGAAGTGACAGGCACTGTGGCAGTGGGGGCCAGGCAACATAGCCCACGGGTACATCATCTGACTCAGCATTCGTCCATCTTCCGTTCAAAAAAAAAAAAAAAAAGGATTTATATACAAACTGCACAGCATCTCCCAGTCCAAATGAGTAAACCACACAGAATGAGGCTGTGGCTTCCATGGAACTAACCACTTCAACAGTTCTCCAGAGATCCAAGTCTTGGTGGTCTCAAGAGAGGCAACGAGGGGCTGAGTCCACACTTAGCCACACGGTGGACTCAATTACCAAACTCGCCCACTTGATATCCATGGGACTTTGCCGTCAAAAGCAACGTGACTCTTGCCTTCCTGTGTCTGTATCACCTAGCGACTGAGAGCGATTCCTAGTTCCTTCTGAGCTTCCAGCAGCAAGGCTTAGGCAGCGCACCAAGGCTAAATCGTCATTCTCCACAGCTGGGAAGGAACAAGGGGCAGAGAATGTCTTCTGGGATGCTGTTCCCCTGCCCGGAGCACCGCTTCCTGAACTCCAAGGGCCAGAGGGCTGAGGGAAGTAGCAGTCTGGAGGGCTGCTGGACTGGCACTGAGTGGCAGATGCTGAGGAGGACAGGAAACGCTTCAGAGTCCCCGAGGCTCCACCTCGTTCAGATCAGTATCTCCACCATGTCAGACAAGTCCTGGACTCTGGGCGTAGTTACAGAGTCTGAGGAGAGAAAAAGAACACAAACTTATGCCAACGAATCTAACCAGAATGCTTTTAAAAAACATCCGGGGGCATGTTTTCCATTTAGGTCCTTGAAACTTATCACCTCTCAGTTGTCCTAGGTCCCCAAGCCTTGGACAAACAAGCACTTCACCCAGTTCCCCTACAGCCTAGACCACCAACCTCTAACGTGTAGGACTCATTTGCTTATAATTTCCAACCAGTTGGCGGGCTCAGGAGAAGGGGAGGGAGGTGGAGAGACCCAGCGGAGAGGCTGGAGAATTCCTTTCATGCCTGTGGTTTGCTGAGCTCACGAGGCACAGGAAAATATGCAAAGGCTAATGTGAAAAGGGGAAGAAAATTCTCAAATTTCTCCTTCCCAGACTCTTTTTATTTAAAAAAAAAAGAAAAGAAACCAAAGTCTTCTAACTTAAGAGCACCATCAGGGTAAGCAGCCAAGTTTCATTATCAGTGCTATTTAGACTGGCAATTAAATATGTTAAGTAAAGCTTCCCATCTGGTAGCGTGATTTCTGAACTTCAGATCCACCTTTTATCCGGGGCTCTATGATTCCTCTGCTTGTGTGTCCAACTGGCCTGTGTATGTGTATTGTTGTGTTGTGGGGGGGTTTAAAATTTTTTATTATTAATTTCAACGAAAATGTACAGAGATTTTGGATTTCCATTCATTCATTGTTGCACTTTTCTCCCCTCCCAATCCTTCCCCTTAGTACATGCCCCTCTTGGAAAAGTAAAAGAAAAATTTTTTCATTGTTTTACAATCCCTCCCCTCAGCCCCACTCCACTATGCAGCCTTCACTCTGGACTCCCGTCATGAAAAAATAAATAATCACATAACCCTTTTAAACAGTTTTCTCCCTCATCTGTTTCAATGCACTATTTGTCCTTTTGTGACTGAGATATTTCACTCAGCATAATATCCTCCAGGATCACCCATTTTGAGTAATATTGCATGAGTTCCTTATTTTTCAAGGCAGTGTAGTATTCCATTGTGTGACTATACCACAGCTTCTCTAGCCATTCGCTTGTTGATGGGCACTTAGGTTGTTTCCAACTCCTTGCTATTGTGAACAAAACTGCAATAAACATGGGTGTGCATATATCTGCTTGGGTGGTGGTTATGGTCTCTTTGGGGTATATTCCCAGTAGTGAAATTGCTGGGTCAAATGGTATCTCTATTTGCAACTTTTTGAGAGAGCACCACACCACCTTCCACAGTGGTTGCACTGTCTATTGCTGTTGTTATGTGGCATCGAGTTGGAACCAACCTATAGCTGACCCTCCAGTGGGTTTTCTCAGAGGCGGTAAATCACACTGGAGGAGATCACCTGTCTCTAAAGGAGCAGCTGGTGGATTCACACCGCGTGCCTTCGGGGGGACACTCTGCTCCTTCCCACTAGGCAACCAGGACTCCCTGTGTCTGTGTACGGAGGTGGACAGGTCCTTTACACATCCCTCGGTTATACAGAGCTCTCTACAGTGTGTGAGGATGTGAGGAGAGGCTTCTGGGAAGAAAGGACCTTGGTGTCTCAGTTAGTGAACCCACCGTCTCTCAGCCCTGCTCTGCATAGAATCTAGGGTTGGTCACTCACCCAGTGAGGGTGTCCTCTGGCCGCTGCTGCACCCCGACAAGCTGTCGGGCTCCTGAGCCAGGCAGGCAGAGGTGTTGTCCGATGGGCTGTCGGTCTGTGTGCTCCCGTCCTTGCTTCCATGTTTGGCATGGGCAGGGAGCGTGGCTGTGGCCACTGGCCCCTCGGCAGGCGTCCTGTCTGCTGGAAATGCAAGCTCATGGTTACTGATCTCACAAAGTTGATTCTGATGAAAAACCAGCCCACAGGAAGAACTTGGGAAGCTCCTGGGTGGTAAAAGTTATGAGGATGGGACCTCACAGTGGCCTGGAAGCGTCACTGAAGACTGAGTATAAGGGGTTTGCCTGTAAGAGGGATCGGGAAGCCCTGTTCTGTCCGGTGAGTCTCAGCTTTGGGAAGAAAGGCTCAGCTACTTGGGGTCAGGCCTGGAAGGAACAGTCCCCCTCTGATGCGGTGCCCATCAGCCCCCTCTTACAGGCAGCCGAGCGGGCATCTGCCTGCCGCTCACTCGAGGATACCCCTTGCCAGTTCTGGGTTCCCACCGCAGCCGCGAAGATGGATGGTACAGACTTAGCAGGCCGCAGGGAGCCCTGGGGGGCCTTGCCGGGGTCCTTCCTGGAGCGTTGCTGGAGAACCTTGATCACAGCATCCTTCTCCAGGATCTGGGCATGAAGCACCTTTAACCTGGAGGGTGAAACATCATCTTTAGACACCAGCAGCCACGTGAAGCACCGGCAACATCCACTTTCCTCAAAGAGAGGTACAGGGACTGCCCCACCCCCCAACATCCAGGCTGGACTCTCTTGCTCCTGCATCAAGGCGGGGGGAGGCCTTCAGAAATGTCATCCCAACTCTGGCCGCTGCTTGCTCCTAGAGCTCAGGCTCTAGAGAACACTGTCCACGGGACACTGGGACCAGCAAAGGCAAGGGGTGGGCTCTTAACTCATGTGACAACAACACGGGCAGAACCCTGGTCCTGGAGGGCAATGCCCCAAGAAGCCTGATTATCCAGAAGGCTCAGGATGTGGCCTCTGGAATCAGGAAGATTCCAGACTGAGACCTCTCCCCCCCCCCCAGAAAATACTACCATCAAGCCAGTTGTTTAACCCACTTTTTCTCTCACACACCACACAGTGGAGACTTAACTGCAAAGTCTTACTAATTTACAAACATAGGGAAGAGGCTGGGAGCTAGGGGCTGAGTCTCAAATACCAACATCTTCACAGCCAGTTTCCTGGGCCAACCAGGAGCTCAGTTGTTAGAGGAGAGAGCTGGGATATACTGGAGTGAAAAACACCGGTCTGCTCAGAGGCAAGAGGGAATGCTGAACGGTTAGGGCAAGGAATCTGTTCATCAGGGTTCGAGCACCGGAACAGGACTGTCACGCTCTCCTCCCCACCTCGGGAGCCCCAGCCTGGCTTGCAATCTCTAACCTGCTCTCCATCTCCTGTTGTCGGTGGCCTCCCGCAAGCAGGCCCTCATTGAAGCTGCTGCTGGGTGAGGGCTGTGGGGAGTGTCGGATGAGGGTGGTGTCGCGCTGGGCAGCAGCCGTGGCGGCTGCGTCCATGGCAAACTGCCTCATGGCCCGTTCCTCCAGGAACTTCTGTTCCCACTTGGTCATGTCGGCCTCCAGGGCCAGGATCTGCTCCTCCTTCTCCCTCAGCTGCTCCGACAGTCTCAGTGCACTGAGCTCTGGGGACCCGCCGCTGCCACCACTGAGGGTGCCCGCCTGTCTCTGCAGAAAAAGAAGCACAGTAGTCAAGGATAGAGGCTGAGCCCCTGGTCCTCATCCACATTCAAGGACTCTAACTTACACACAGCCCCATTCACACACACCTCTTGTCCCCTCTCTCGGCCTGTCTGCACCCAGAGATAAAGGGGATGTTAGGGAGTTCCTACACCTTATCCTGAATCCTGTAGCCAAGAGTATAGGAGCAATCATGTTGGCTTGTACAGTTAAGAAAATAAAAATGCCAAGTCCAATCACTGTCATGAAGTCAGTGTCAACTTCCATTTGTTAGAGAGAAGAACTGTTTCATGGGGTTTGTTTGGCTATAATCCTTACAGAATCAGCTGGCCAGGCCATCCTCCTGTCATATCACTGAGTGGGTTTGAACCTCTAACGTCTAGGGTGGGAGTTAAGCACAAACCATTTGCACCACCTAAGGGCCTTTGCGTAGGTGACCTTATAGTTATCCTCTAAGCTAGGAACACCCCAGGCAAGTCAGGAGACTGATCGATCATCCTATCTGTGTAGGAAGGGAATCAAAAGAAATCTATCCGCTCTGCAAACAGCAAAAAAGCTGTTTACACAGAAGTCCCGAATGAGGATAGAGCCTCAGGGCTGACCATCTTCTCACTTGCTTTTGGGGTGGCATGTAAAAGCTGCCAAGCCTTACAGATCAAGATTTTATTGCTTTTCAACCTAGCATCAGGTTTCTGACTCTGTGTGTTATTTTTTCTCTAGATACCAGGAATCCACTTCTCTGCTTCTTCTGCCTGTGGGCAGAAGCTCCAGTGTTGAGTTCCCTGAAGAACTATACAAGCCAAATGGCAAAGTCTCTACTAGGAATTCCTCCTTATTACAGCAGCGAGTAGCGCTTCCTTTCCCGGGGGAGACTGGGGTTCGATTCCAGGAAGGGGAGGCACACGTCCTTCAAGAAGCTCTGCGGGCTTAGTGGCAAGGAACTGTACTGCCAGGGACTTTTCTGAAGGTTAAGGTGATTATTCTGTGCTCTCAAGTTGAGTACATTCAACAGATCTGAACCCCATCCTATCCTGCACCATCCTCACTATCTAGGATTCTAGTGTCATTAACGAAGGCCCCACAGGGAGCTCTGGTGGCCTAGTGGCAAGCAGCTGCACTGCAATCCCGAAAGTGTGCGGTTTGAATCCACCAGATGCTCCGCTGGAGAAGGAGGGGTAAACTCCTGTGCCAGTCGGATCCAATTCAACGGTACAACAAATTAAAAAGGAAAATTAATTTTTTTTTAAAAAAAAAGGTACCTAAGTGGTTCAGACAGTTTGTGCTAGACCGTTTACTAACTTAAAGGGCGCTCTGGTGGCTTAGTGGTAAGGAATTGTCCTGCCATGGCAAAGGTTTGCAGTTGGAATCTAACAACTGCTCCACAAGAAAAGATGGGCAATTTGCTCCAGCGCGATTCACTGACTCTGAAAACCCCCTGGGGGGTCAACTAAGATGTATTCTGGCTGGACAATCTATAACAAACTGCTGAGAATGGAGAGCGAGAGGAGCCATGCGTCAAGTGCGCAGGGCGGCCAAGTGCGGGAGGAACCTCCCACGTCCCTGCTCACCTGCTGCGCACGCAGGGCCTTGAGTTCCTGCTCCAGGCGCGTGCGCAGGCGCAGCTCCAGCTGCTCGCGCTTCTCGCAGGCGGCCTGCAGCTGCCCCAGCGCCTGCTGCAGCCTCTCCACCTTCTCCACGTACGCCTGCTTCTTGCGCAGCTCCTCCTCGGCGCGCGCCGCCCGGCCCTGGGCGTTACTCAGCGCCTGCTCCAGCAGCTCGGCGCGCCGCCGCTGGTCCTCGATAGCCCCGCGCAGCAGCGCTATCTCCCGCTCCAGCTTCTCCTGCTCCTGCTGCTGCTCATAGCCTGCGGGGAGAAGGCGCAGCTCTGTCATCCTCCAGGCACTGAGAGTGACAGCGACCACGCGGGCTGGCCCCACTGAGTGCCTGCATGTGTGGACTGCGCAGCTGCACGAGTGCCTCTCACCTTCTCAACAACCTCAGGGACTCGATGCCATGAACTACCCCATTTTACAGATGAGCAAGCTGAGGCTGGCATGAAATCACACGTTAATTCAGTCTGTCTCCACAGTCCGTGCTATACTAATGGGGCTTCATTGGCTCTCTTCTGGGGCACAGACCTGGCACCGACTTCTGCCAAGCTACACCATTACTGAAATTATTATTTTTTTTTTTTAAGAATTGAAAATTCCAGATCCTTTAATTGCACTCATGCAGGACCTATACACAAATAAAGAAGCAATGCTTGAATAAAATTAGGGATAGTGCATGATTTGAAGTCAGAAAGTTGTTGTTGAAATACATTCTTAATCTACTTTAAGACCCTGATGGCAATAGACTGTCCAGGAAGGCACTGTGCTGCCCAGGGAGGGATGGAAAAGTGGAGCCCAAGATCAGAGGTAACAGAGTTCGAACGAGAGGAAATGAAGAGAAAGAAAATGGCCATTTTGTTGAGCTACAAGCCAAACATATCTTGATTCTATTAAATCCTCCCAACAATAGTCTTTCAAAGGACTCGTGGCCCCCCACCTTAAAGAGACAGAACCAGGTGCAACCACTGTGGAAGGCTGTATGGCGCTTTCTTAAAAAGTTGCAAATAGAGATATCATTTGAACCAGCAATTCCACTACTGGGAATATATTCCAAAGAGACCATAACTGCCATCCAAGCAGATATATGCACGCCCATGTTTATCGCGGCTTTGTTCACAATAGCAAGGAGTTGGAAACAACCTAAGTGCCCATCAACAAACGAATGGATAGAGAAGCTGTGGTATATTTGCACAACGATGCAGAACCAAGATGTTAGGGGTGATGCCAAGGTGGGTTCCCACACCCAAAAAATCTCCTAGAGTGCACCCCAAAGCTCATTCTGCAGGTCCCAGCCTGCTCTATTAAGTACTCCAGTTTTGTCCACGGCCCAGGGGACAGCTAGGCAGATGCTGATAAAAGAAATAAAAACCTGCCAGTCGAAAGGAAACAGCCGTGTCATCAGAGGCACGCAGACTGTACCAGGTGGCACCAAATGACCCACCATATAGGAGGATGTCCAGTGGTATAGTTAGCGTGTTGCATTGCTAATAGGACAATCTCTAAGATTTTTGTGCAGTGTTTCCACAGAAATGTATTGTTTTTTGTAAAGTCAGTCATGTAGTTTTAACAAGAGTATGTACACACACACACACACATATATATTTTGTAAGCCCATCTTACGTATATCAAAATACTTTCAAGATGAAAACTCTATGCTAGTTTATACTTTGAACCTTTAACGCACTTGGCTTGGAAGGAGAAAAGTGGGCAGTCTCCTCTCATAAAGATTATGGCTTGAGAAATGCATTGGAAGGTCACCAAGGGTTGTAACTAGTTCAATAGCGGTGATTCCTTGGGTAATGCGCTCTGCTCAGAACTGTCATTATTCCCCAATGACACTTCAAATCACATGTGTGTCTGTGTGTGTAAGTCCTATTTTTGTTGGTGATTTTGTCGGTCTCTGTTATTTCAGCTATATTACGGTGATTAATCACTTGTGAATAAGAACTTTTGAGAATGCAGTTGTTGTGGGTCAGAGTCACCTACAACTCATAGCAACCCTATGTACATGAGCTCTGAACCCTGCTCTATCCTGAGCCAATCTCATCTCCGACAGACCTAATCCCATTTCTCCAGTCACTGAGTCACTCCATCTCATCCTAGGTCTTCCTTACTTATGCTGTCCCTCCACCCTTCTAAGCATGATGTCCCTCTCCAAGGCCTTGAGAATGCCAAAAAAGATGAGTAATTGACTACTAACAGTGTCGTAACTACTAACGTTCAATGTCCAAAGATTTTGAGAATGAAGTAGTAAAGCAGAAAATGTCAAAATAAGGGGTCCAACTGATTACTAACAATGTTCAAAGTTCAACATTGGAAGATTTTACAAAACACTTTTTTTTAGTAGTCTCATAATCTAAATTGTTGGTATTCATATAATCCAAGACACATTACATTTACGCAATTTACAACTACACTTCTCACATTCTTTTTATTTTTTAAATTTTTATTATATTATTTTTACATGTACCGTCAAATCAGATCTGACTGGTACAGGAGGAGACTGCCCCCTCCTTCTCCAGCAGAGCATCTGGTGGATTTGAACCGCGTACTTCTGGGATTGCAGAGCAGCGTCTTGCCATTAGGCCACCAGAGCTCCCTACATCTCACATTCATAACGATTCTACAAAGGAGCTCTGTGGGCTAAGTGGTAAGGAACTGCACTGTCAACCTGAAGGCACATGGTTCAAATCTACCACCTGCTTTGCAGGAGAAAGATAGTTAATCTCCCACGCAATTTATTGCCTCTAAAATCCCTCTTGGAGGGTCAGCTATGTATCAGTTCTAGCTGGACAACACATAGATAACAACAACAACAACAACAACAACAACTCTATATGGTATGGTGCAGCAGGACGGGTCTGGAGCTGGGGTTGACAACATGAATTATCACACCTATCCTAGGTTCTGGAATAGAAGGCTTGGGGCTCTGGGATGCAAAAGGGAGAACTCACTCAGGGCCCAGGGACAGGAGAACTCAGGCATCCTAGGTCACTGTGGATTAGGTTGGCTTCATTCCTTGGCATGGAGGAGAAAGGTGCAATGCCCGATAATATTTCCCCCCCAATAATACTGAAATGGAACTGGACTCAGAGATAATGACCATGACTCTTGTATTGGTTCACAGACCCCAACCGTTTACGGAGTAAACGCTCCTTGGGCTGACAAACGAACAAGTCTTGGAGAAATGTGCAGCCAGGGTGCTCTTTAGAGGCAAGGATGGTGAGACTTCATCGCAAAAACTTCGGACACGCTATCAAGGAGGAGTTAGTCCTTGGAAAAAGACAGCAAGCCGGGAAAGGTTAAGGGTCAGAGCAAGAAAGGAAGCCGCTTGACAAGATGGACTGACACGAAGACTGTTAGAATGAGCTCAAGAGAGGTGATGGTGTAGGAAAAGAAGGTTCAGATGTGTTATTCAAGGGGTTGCTATGACCTAGTTGACCTGATGACACCTAACAACAGTTTACAAGGTCTGTTCACAGCCTGTGTTTCAATCCCGTTTAAGGCAGGCAGATAGAACAGGAGTAATGGCTGTCCCCTGTCACAGCTGGAGGCCCTCAGGCTCAGGGAGAAGAAATGTGCCCACCAGACAGAGGTAGAGGAGAATGAGAAAAAGCATTCAGGGCAGGTCCCCGGAGAGGGCAGAGCGTCCCAGAAGGGCCCAGAGGGGAAGTGCTGGGGTCTGCATAGCTTCCCAAGAAGGTTTTTGGGACAATGGTCACACTGGTGCTGGTACCAACCCTCAATGACCCGCGGTGGGGTGGGGGGAAATAAGAGAATCAATGGAGTCCTCTCTAGATTTCTCTGGCAGCTTCTCAGGACACAGAGAGGCCGCTGTGTTTCCTCAGTCCATGGTGGGCCCCAGCATCCAGCATTCAGCAGCTTCCTGCTTCCTTTAGAGGGTCCTTGGAGGCCTTGGCTGGGGCTGGGACGTTCTGGGTCATCCCCAGCCACCAGGATCCTATTAAGAGCATAGACCTGTGCATCTTAGAAGGAAAGCCTTTCAGCAAGAAACAAAAAACTTTAATGTCCTCCCACGGCTGGAGTGGGAGAGGAAGTGGAGAGGCTAGGAAAATGGGGCGAAGGTGGACAGAGAGGTGGATGGACGTGGGGCCACGCTGGCTGGCTTTCAGGACCTTTTGCCTTTAGAAAGCAAGCCCCCCCCCCTCCACCGTGCTGTCCCTTTGTACTGGTTTTCTGTCCTCCCAAAGCCAGAGGCCGAAGGGCACCAGGCAGCTGCAGAGGGAGGAGGGCAGGGAAAGGAACAGCCAGGGCTCTGGAATGCCAAGCATCCAGGTCACCCGCGGCTGCGAGATTAATGGCTCCAGCCAGGAGCCAAGAACAGCCTGGTGCTCTCCCCAGGGGAACGGAAACGCCTCCAGGCCTCCCCCTCTCCACTGGGCAGCCTCCCAGAAACGAGCCCCAAGCTTCCCTTTCCTCCCAGAACCAGGCCCCACAAGTCCGTCCTGCCAGGAGCACACTTTCCTGAAGACCCTCAGGCCAGTGAAGTTCCTGGTGGGCGCCTGGGTCCCCCACACTGTTTCTGAGGCTGAAATGGGGGGATTACAATCTCCAGCCTGTCAGTCTGGAGGCCAGCGCTGCTGTTCTCATTCTGGACACCCCAACACAATCCAGAGGCCCCCGACGGCAGGCTTTGTTCACCCCCGCTTTCCTCAAAGCCACCTGGCCCAAGCCAACTAGTCTGTGTTGCTGTTGTTGTGTACAGTTGAGTCAGAACCAACTCACAGCTGACCCCACAGAGGGTTTTCAGAGGCTGTAAATCGCACAGGGTTGTGCTAAGAACCGGTCCTGTGTTTCTTCGGATTCTCCTGCTCCCCGCGGCTCCCCTCAGCCTGGTTCTAAGCAAGCCTTTCAGTTCCCCCTTCGCCTCTTCTAGTCTCTTCTCCGTTCTGACCATGCCTTACCAGGGCCTCCCTCTCGAGCCTGGGAGCAGCCCAACCAATGGCACCCTGGAACTTGTGTTTGAAGAGCCCCACCCCTTTCTCAAACTTGTCCCTTCTCCCTTGACCTCTGTTACGGGAGCTTTCTGGACCTGCTCCCACCCTTGGCTCCCTACATGCTAGGAGCTCACAGCACAATTCTGCTAAAGGAACAGATGTCTGGTGTCTAAATTCATCCACCTCTCCAACTAGCCCTTCAGGGAGACACCATAGGAGCCACTTCCTCAGGTAGTTTCTTGATGAAGCCCTGGAAATATCAATGGGACTCTAACAAGATCAAGAGAGATGCTAGAAAAGGCTATTCCTTGGAGAGGGACATGATGCTGGGAAGGGTGGAGGGTACGGTGAAAGAGAAGAAGAGCGTCAACCAGGCGGACTGACCCAATGCTGCAATGGGCTCTAGCGCGTCAGGAAGTGTAAGATCACAGGACAGGACAGGGTTTCAGATCTGTTGTTCATAGGATCGCTCTGGGTTGTACTTGACTCAAGGCACCGCACAATATGGGTGTCCAACAACACCGGCCTTACTTCTTGGTTACTTTGTTACGGCCCCAGTCCCCTTACTCTCTAGCTTCTCACACTGCCGCTGGGGGACCCCCATCTTTCTGTTACCTGGGATACTTCAGACTCATCTTCCTGTCACCCCACCAACCTCCAAGCATAACCCTGACCTTGCCGACGGAACCTCTGCTTCTCAGTTACACTGAGATTCCAACCAGTCACAAGGATGTTCCACACAGTTCATCCCATCAACTGACCCCCAATCAACAGAGTCACAAACCTTACTGCTCTCAGCCCAGTCCAATGTCGCGTTCATTATCTTGTGCACAGCTTTGCGAGGAGAAGGGACTTGGCTGTGGTGTCCCCACCCACACACCTACAAACTCCTGCCCGCATCTTGCACTTACTCTGAGCCAGCAGCTTGGCCACCATATCCTGACTGCCCGAGTGGGCCTCCTGTGTCTTGCTCGCCAGCCGGCGGTTTGCAGATTCCAATCGCTCTGTTTTCAAGGAAGGGAAGATGTTTTAGCATAAGGGATGCTACCTGCCTGCCTGTTCTCAGGGGTCGTTGTGAGGCTCCAAGGCAGAACTGGACTGAGAGGGCAGCACTGGGATTCAGCTAAGGGCCAGTGAGGAGGGTAAGTCCTGACCATCCAGGGGTCCAGAACACAAGGAATCTCAGACTGATTCCCTTTGAGTCAATTTGCACTTATTTTTGCAGAGGTCAGAGATTCTGAACAAGGATTTGAACCCTGAGCCTTCAGATTAAAAGTCTGGTGCTCTACCGAGTGAGCTATCCAGGCCCCAGGTGAGAGCAGAGATTCTGAATCTTCTCTGGGCGCAGAGCGCCAGAGCGCCCTGCAGACACTCGTGCTGCCCTTGGATTTGTGCTCTCACCTCTAAGATCCCGGTTGAAGTCCTGCAGCCGCCTCATCTCACTGTCCATCTTGTTCCGCATGGTCTTCTCCAGAGCCTCGCGCTTGGCAGACGCTCTCGTCAGGCTGTTGTGGGCCTCAGAAAGCCTCTGGATTTCATTTTCCAGCTACAAGAAGCAGACAGCAGAGTTGAAGGAGAGCTTCCCCCAGGGCAGATGTAGCAACCAAGGCCTTCCCTACAGTCCCAGGCTGATCTGCTATTCTCCATCAGAAACAGGGAGAGACGGGAGTGCAAAAAGCTGGAGCAAAAATTCTGGTGTTTATAGGTGGTTGGCCAGACATTTATAACTCCCTGAATCAAACCAGACCAGCAGGAAAGGATCCCATCGAATGCTCTAGGTACCAAATGCTGAATGCAAGGCCTGAAAGAAGCATTTTACTACTTTTCTCAAGCTTTTGCTAAGAAATCAGATTACCACTGGTTCAAGAATGGGCACAAAGACTCTGGCCTTCTCTGGAAGGTCTGATCCACTTCGGATACTAAGCACTCCAGAGGCATTACGCACCGGGGGGCTAACACGAAAGCTCAACGGTTCAAATCTGCTCCGCGGGAGAAAGACGGGTTGTCTCCCTCATTGGATAGAGCTGCCGAGGCAATGGTATTCACTTCGAAGCCCCAAGCTGCTCCTTGGGAAAATGATGGGTAATCTCCTGCCGTGTGACTTATGTTGTTGTTGTTATGTACCGTCGAGTCGTTTTCGACTCATAGCGACCCTATGCACAACAGCCCTAAACCCTGCTCTGTCCTGCGCCAACCGCATTGTCTCTGACACTCCCACCCCGATTACCCCAGTCACCGAATCAAACCATCTCATAGAGGGTCTTCCCCTCCTGCGCTGTCCCTCCACCCTCCCAGGCATGATGTCCCTCTCCAAGGACCCGTCCCTCCTGGCAACATGTCCAAAGTATGTCAGACGAAGCCCCAGAATCCTTGCCTCCAAGGAGTAGCTTGGTTTAATCCTCTCCAAGATAGCCTCTGAAAACCTACTGAAGGGTCAGGATATGGGGTTGGTTCCAACTTGGTGACACCCAAAAACAAAGTCCCCGCTGGAGGGGTGGTTTGTGTCAGAACTGATGCGGCGCAGGTAGGACTGGTTCTCAGGAAGCCAGAAGTTTTCTGCTCAAGTTAAACTTTAACACAGAGCTGGTAAATCTTCAGTAAAGGAGTCACCAGGCCCAGCCAGCTTCCTCCACCCTTTGCCATTGCCCCTCCCACTTGGCTGCCAGCAGGCCCCACACGTGCTGTGAGCTGGCTCTGCAATTCCAACAAGTCACTTCCCCCCTCCCCTCCAAGAGAAGGGGCTTCCTCTGTGACCAGGGCTGTGCTGGAACAGACTAGCTGTTGTGTGGCAGACACAAAGGGCTCTCTGTGGGAGGTGTCCACGGGAGGCGGTGTGTGCAGGGCTAGGATACAAGCGTGCAGGAAGCTGGTGAATGGGTGCTTTCTAACTACCACCGCTGACCAGCCCCTGCTCATGGTCCTGGCCTCGCGGTTACTCCTCAGCTGTCTGGAGCCAATGAGGGAGGGGACACGGGCAGAGGATGGGGGGACAGGAGGTGCAAACGTCCAGCCAGACACTAGTTTGCAGGCTCTGCTATCCACCTTCGGGCTGTCCACTCCCCAGGCAGCTCCTCTGTGGACTGTCCACTCCCAGGTAGCCCCTCTTTGGATTGTCTACTCCCCAGGCAGCCCCTCTTCGGGCTGTCCACTCCCCAGGCCGCCCCTCTTTGGACTGTCCACTCCCCAGGTGATCCCTCTTCAGGCTGTCCACTCCCCAGGTGACCCCTCTGCGGACTGTCCACTCCCCAGGTGGCCCCTCTGCAGACTGTCCACTCCCCAGGTGGCCCCTCTGCAGACTGTCCACTCCCCAGGTGGCCCCTCTGCAGACTGTCCACTCCCCAGGTGACCCCTCTTCAGCTGTCACTCCCCAGGTAAACCCTCTTCATGCTGTCCACTCCCCAAGTAGCCCCTCTTTGGACTGTCTACTCCCCAGGTAAACCCTCTTTGTGCTGTCCACTCCACAGGTGGCCCCTCTTTGGCTGTCACTCCCCAGGTGACCCCTCTTCGGGTTGTCCACTCCCCAGGCAGCCCCTCTGTGGCCTTAGCGGCAGGCTCACCTTCTCAATGCGGCCGGCTTTCTCCACCGAGCTCCCCAGCTCCCTTTGCAGCCTCTCGTTGTCTCTCTGGAGCCTGGCATTCTCCCTCATCACGGCTTCCACCTGGGCCGAGGACATGTGACCACTCGCTGGCCCTTCCACTGCAGGTGGACTGTGGGAGCTCAGGGGTCCGTGGCCAAGGGTGGCCGGGTGTTGGGGGTGCTCTTGGGACTGTTGCACATACTGGTACTGCTGATGCTGGAGGAAGACAGGGGGCACCTGAGCCTGCAGGATCCTGGAGAACAGAAGAGACTTGGGCTCAGGGGCTGTACGGATGCCGGCAGCTTCTACTCCAAACTGACCCCCACGTCAGCAGGCTGGGGGACAGGGTTCCTCACAGTGCTCGGGAGAGTGGGAAGGGTTTTCCAAATGGGATCTCCGCAAGATCAGCAAGGACCAGAGGAGTAAGAAGGATGGAGGGAAGAAATGTCATGACGCCTGGGGACCCGCCTGAGTCGTTGCGACCTTCCGAAGCAACCAGTGCTGCGAAAAAGCACCCTTAAAAAAAATCACTCGCAGGGAGCTCTGGTGGCCTAGTGGCAAGACGCTGCACTGCAATACCAGAGGTACGCGGTTCAGATCCACCAGATGCTCTGCTGGAGAAGGAGGAGGCAATGTCCTCCTGTACCAGTCAGATCTGATTTGACGGTACATGTAAAAATGATGCAATAAAAAAAAAAAAACTCGCACAGTGAACAGGAGGGGCCTGGTGGCTTGGTGTTAAGAAACTGCACTGCCAACCCAATGGTACGTGGTTCAAGTCCACCAACTGCTCTGCGGGAGAAAGATGGACAATCTCCTCCTACAAGATTTACAGCCTCTGAAACACCCCAGCCCTGAAGGGTTAGCTTTGGGTCCTGATTCGATTGTACTCAACAGCAGGACTGAAGAGCATGTTCTTTTGGGGTTTGGGGGGTGCCATGCCAGTCATTTCTGAGCCCACAGTCTTTCCAGGGTCCTGTGTCTGCTCAAAGCCACCAGTTCCAGTCCTTACACTGGTCCATGGAGCTGATGAGGTAGGTATTCTGAGTCCTGACGCCCCTTCAGATACAGTGGTCAGAGGGCTCTGGATAAGGTGAGCCAGATGTTGGGAGTATGACTGAGATCTACCGTCTAAGAAATATGAAGTCAAACGCTGGCTCAAGTCATTTGGCCCTGGACAGGTGACCCATTATCATCTGACCTTGGCCCCCTGAAGGTGGCTCAAAAATCCTCTGCAAATCAAGGATGTTTTTCGTCTATGTGGTACCTGTAAGGGTGGCGGACTGGAAGATTACTGGGCAGAGACCAGGCTCTCCAATCATGGTCGGCCCACCTTCCACCTCTCCTAGTGAGAATCTCAGTTTGCTCTCCATATGTGACGCAAATGCAGGATTGCTCTGGATACTTGAGTCCAAGGGACAAGGTGGCTTTGAGAACTGGTATACCATCGTCCTTAAGGCCTAGTGTCAGAGAAGAAGTCCTTGCAAAGGACAAGTATGGAATGTCAGTAGGTCTTCTAGTGTCTCCCAGTGTAAAATAATAAACTGCCTCAGCTTCATGAAGAACTTCCAAGGCCCAGAGCCACCACGAAGATTTCTGACAACTTCTCAGTCCATCCTCTTCAGCCATCATGGTTAACCTTCTCCTCCCATCCCTGCAGTCCATGGCTTCCCTCCAGAGCCCTTGCACGAAGCAAGAAAAGGTCCTGCCTTTAGCTGTCAACAAACAACCGTCATCTGACCAGCCCAAAGCAGAGGATAAGCCAACACACTCCCCTTACTACCTAAAGGCTCTGATGAGAACTGGACAGAGGTGCTCCTGGAATGTCCACACTCTCCCTTCAAACTACATGTCTTTCTGGGGCTGTCTCAAAGACTTGTTGCTCCTTGCCTGGGACCAGGCAGACACAGCTGGCATTCTTTGGGGATGATTTAACTCAAGAAAGAATAGTAGGGTTCCGCCCCCTTTTCACTCGCTTTCCCTTCTTGTTCTCTTCCCCCCACCTTTTTTTTTTGTTTTGTTTTCCTGAAAACTGTCCACTTCCTTTCCACGATATTATCTTTTCCTGACAGGGAGTAAGGTTGGTCCGAAAGAAGAAAGCACAGCTCAGCTTCCGAAAGCCTTCCCGATAGTCTTGAGAAGGGAGATAAGGGTGGAGGCTGGAGGAAAGCAGTGAGGCGGGAGCCCATGGTTCCTCCATTCCAGAACCATTGCATCACTCGCATCTGGAGCAGGAAAAGGCCTCGACGTGGGAAAGTGGATGACTGCACGCCGACTCAGCAGACCTGGACACACTGTGATCTCGGGCTGCTGTCGGAGGAGGAGGGTCTGGAGTTTCCTGGATCTCTGTGGATCCAGCCTGGATGGACCCTGTGTCAGCTCCTTCTGATACGGCAACTCAGTGAGCCAGCCGGGAAAGCTGGCCGCCGCCACATTTCAGCATCCCCACCTCCTCTGAGATCTCGTTTCATTTGTGCCCTTCTCAGTCCTTTCTCTGCATGCAACGGGAATCACCTCTTCACAATGGGCGAGCAAGCCACCTTCTTCAGTGACTTCCCTCCACATCCAGAATCAAGCTCTTAGGCCCTTCCACAGTCCAGCAGCCTTCACAGAAGAAGGCAGGCTCACTCACACCCAGATGCCTCTCTCATACCAGCCTCCAGGCACATTGTTGTGTGTGCTGTCAAGTCAAAATCGACTCATAGCTGACCCTCCAGTGGGTTTTCAGAGGTTGTAAATCCGAAGGGGAGGAGACTGCCCATCTTTCTCCCGCAGAGCAGCTGGGGGATTCAAACTGCACACCTTTGGGTTGGCAGCCCAGCCACTAAGCCACCAGAGCTTCCACGTATGGGATATGGAAAAAGAATTAAAGGAAACGGTAGAGAATAAGGACAGTCCTTCCTGCCTTCGAGGAGGAATGCCTTGCAATAATCACAGAAAATAAGCTGCCTACCATTTTCTTCAAAACCTCAAGGGAGGCCCAATCACTTGCAAACAGTCTGTCAATGATTCTCCATCCTGTTCCTCTTCCAGATGTTCTCTCTGAAATCCAGCTTCCCAGCTCCCTGCCCTGCTATTACAGCTCATGTCCTTTGGGGAATCCTAATTACTTAAATGTTATGCATACCAAGCTAAGCAGACAATGATTATCTCTCCAAAGTAAAGCAAAGAATGCCATTAACGTGTTCATATGTGACCTTGGCTCGGTGGAAAAAGGTACAGGGTCTAGTGGGTCTGGCAGCCTACAGGCTGATTTGGGGGTGGTGGGAGGGAGGTTAGAGGGATCTCCCTAGCCCTGACACTCGGGCTGAAAGGGGGCAGGGCAGTTACCTGACTTCTGCTTGCTGGAAGTACGGGTTGCCATGGGTGCGAGGAGGTGGACCCCAGGAACATGCCCTTGGGGCCGGCGCAGCAGCAACCGTCTGGTGAGCTTGTACGGCGGTGGCGGCGTGTGGGTACTGAGGCGGGGGTCCTCGGGTCTCCGGCACTTCAGCAGGGGGGCCCCTGGGTGGGGCTCCCTGCTGGTTCCTGGTCAGCTGCGGGAAGCTGTGGGAGGAGCTCATGAGGCTGGGCGCCCGGGCACCATTGCGCTCCAGTGACAGCTGCAGGAGCCGCTCACTGAGGGAGCGCACGTGGCCATGGCGCAGCTCCTTCAGGGCCTCGTCCTGCCTCCTGGGGCCTCCCGGGGCCCCTCGTGGCTCCCGATGATGATGATCGCCGTGGGGCCGGGGCCCCACCTGCTGTGCTGCATAGTACTGCGAGTGGGCTTTGGCCTCCTCATAGGTGGGCAGCTCCTCGCCTTTATTGGTCTGCGCGCCCAGCCGGTAGAGGGTGTTCTCGGCCAGGTGGGCCTCGCCCCCCTGGTGCTCCTGGCCCTGGGGCTCTTGGCGAGTGGCCTGCTGCAGCCCTTGGCTCTCCTCGGGTGCGGGGAGCTCCAGCGAGGTCTGGGGGCCACCCGTGCCGCCGGCCCCACCCCGCAGGGCCTGCTGCTGAATGGCCAGCAGCGTGCGTGTCTCCGTCAGGTTGCCATAGCGCAGCTGCTCCTGGATCAGGCGGTGCAGGACGGTGCCCGACGAGTCTTCCAGAGTCCTCATGCTGCGTGGTTTATACACACCTGGCTAGACAACGGCCAGCAGCACCCGTGCCCACAGCACCTGGGGGGAAAGAAAGAACAATGAGTGGGGCTGTGTGCGGACCAGGAGGGCGGGCCATTCCAGAATAATAATAATAATAATAATAATAATAATAATAATAATAATAATAAAAGACAAGGTTTTGGGGGGTGTTATGGGAGAGGAGGGTATCATTCAAGCTTGGGTTCTAGGACTAATACTGCCATCAACCGATTAAAGCACGTTCTATAATTTCTCCATCTCAGAAATGGAAAAGAAAACTACCTGCCTCATAAAGTGGACCATTAGGAGGGACAACAGCTGTTGATGGACAGAACTGACTCATAACTGACTCTCCAGAGGGTTTTCAGAGGCAGTAAATTGCTAGGGAGGAGACTTCCCATCTTTTTTTCCACGGAGCAGCTAGTGGATTTGAACCGTGTGCCTTGGGGTTGGCAGCGCAATTCCTTAACGTTGTTGTTGTTGTTATGTGCTGTTGAGTCGCTTGTGACTCTTAACAACCCTATGTACAACAACCCTAAACCCTGCTCTATCCTGAGCCAACCTTATTGTCTCTGACACAATCCATCTCATCGAGGGTCTTCCACTCTTGCGCTGTCCCTCCACCCTCCCAAGCATGAGGTCCCTCTTTAAGGATTGGTCCCTCCTTGCAACCCGTCCAAAAGTATGTCAGACAGAGCTTCAGAATCCTTGCCTCCAAGAAGCAGCCTGGCTTCACCTTCTCCAGGACAAACCTGATCGTTCTCCTAGCAGTCCATGGTATATTCAATACTCTTCTCTAGCACCACAGCTCAAAGATATCAATTCTCCATCTATCATCCCTAATCATTGCCCAGCTTGTCTTAACATTAAGCCACCAAAGCTCTCACTGATCTCTTGATTACACTGTAAATGCTCAGCAAAGGGTATCTAGAGAAACACAGCCCTGACGTTCATCAAGCAGAAACTACTACTATCTAGTGGGTCAAGGGGAAGCCTATGTGGACCAGCTCAGATGCAGGGAGATCTACCCAGAATGAACAAAGCACACACTCCAGCTTTCTTACAGCCAACTCACCAGCCATAACCCCCAGAGCCCAAGTACCCACCTCTCTCCCTCTCCACTGAATCTGTGATTTTTCTGGAGGGTAGACCCTGGGCTCTACTTAATCAAGGGCTGTTGATTAATGAACCCGAGGCTCCCTGGAGAGGGGAGTCATCTTACACTGAAGAGGAAGGAGAAAAGGCATCTCTATTGTTAGGGAGGGGATGAAAAGACAAGCTGCAATAGGACAACGACTATGTGAGCTAAGGCGAAAAGGTCCAGCCCATCAAGGTGAGCAGATTAACCACGTAGTCCCTGTGTGCGTGCAGACACTACCAGCATGAGTGTTTCAGGAAAAAGAAAGGTTGGGCACGATGCCTTTGATCTTACAATGACCTTGCCCTTCCAAGCCCCAACACTAGGCACTTGGAAAAGCCCTCAGCTGAACCTCAAGTGAAGGAAAGCCTTCAGAACCTTTCATAAAATGGTTAATGTCCAACTGGAGGAAACGAGGGGTGAGTGAGAGGTCCCAGGGTGCAGAGATGTGGGGCTGCGAGTCTCAAGGGCGGGGAGATGAGGTGCTCATGGAGGTCCCTTCCCAGTGGCTCATGCCCTGGCAAGCTGCCACCGCGCCCAGCCTCCTTTCCACAATCTCCTCCAACACAAACCTCCAAACCAGGATTCAGGGTAAAGCAAACAAAACCCACACCTCCGTGAATGTGTGTGTGTATGTGTGGAGTGGCGGAGGGAGTAGACCCAAGCAGGCAGGGGGAAGTCCGTCGACCGCTCACACAAAACTAGCCCCAGGCTCCTGCCTCCTTTTGGTCTTGGCATGTGGGCAGGACGGCCATTGCCAGTCCACTCGCCCCAGGACTGCACCAGTGCAGAGCTGAGCGGGGAGGCGACCTCAGTATTCAGAGCCTTTTTGGTATCCGTCTCCCACCCCCCACCCCCCACGAGTAAATTGAAAGGAGGCAAAAGAAGCAAACTGGGGCCATCCGCCCTTGCTTTGCACCATCTTCGAGGCATTTCTTAAATTAATCAGAGTCTGGGCTGTCTCCCGCTGAGGAGGGCTGGGCCCAGGCAGGAAGGAATGCAGAATCCTTTACAATGACAGATTCCAGGGCCTCAGCTCTCCGCGGGAAGCAGAGCACACACCCCAGGGAGTTTCCTCCCCACGGGACCCCTCAGGTACACACATCTCCACACCAAAGGGCCGAGCCATTAGTAAACCCTACACCCCAAATTCCAGCCCGTGCAACGCGGGGTGCCTCGCTCTCTGAATCTAATTCCCTACCCCGCCCCATAATACACTTTCTAAGCAAGAAGACGTCTCCGGCCTTTGCCTAAGCTCAAGGTAGCACAAGGAGGCAGTGAAAGGCTTTACATTAGATCGGACCCCGCCAGCCCCTACTCCCGATCGACACGAGCATCCCGGGATCGTCGGGGGCCCCCTGGCTCGAGGAAGTCTCCAAGCATCCCCGAACCGCCTCTCCCCTCCCCGAGCCCTCTTTGTTTTCCAGATACTCCAGGGCTGACGTCAGCGGGCTGGACTGCAGGCTGCATTCTTTCTAAGTGAGAGCCGGTTTGTGGCTCCGCCGAGCATTTTTCCAAGGAAGACAAAGGCGAATTCTTGGGCTAGCTGGGGGCAGAGACACCTCTAATCCGCCACCTAACCGAAGCAAGCCCTAAAATACTGCAACCTGAACTCTTAGCCCAGAACCGCGCCCCCCTTGCCGGATCTGCGACTCAAATCGCTGCCCCCCATCTCCCCAGAGCCGCCCCCTCCCCAAGGCGCAGGGGGGTCGGCAGGATTCAAGAGTCCGCCAGCCCCGAGCGCATGGAACCTTGTCCCTAGGCCGGAAAGACCCCACTCCAGAGGCTTTGTAGCAGCTTCCAAAGCGCGCACGGCAGCTGGCAGGCGCTCAATTCACGCGCGCGTGGGACAGGGGGCCCGGGAAAAGCGCTAGGGTCTCCTCCCGCCTCGCACGCTCCCCGGAGCGCAAAGCCTTCCTTACCGCTGCGGCCTGCGGGGGCCCCGCACCTTCGGAAGCGACGTCCCGGCGTGGCCTCGGCCCGGTCCGGCTCGGTTCGGTAGAGCCCGGCTCGGTTCGATAGAGCCCAGCTCGGCGGCGATGCGCACTCTGTGGAGGCGCCGGCGATCTGGTCGCTCGGCCTCAGCGCGCAGCCCCAGGCTCGGCTCGCGCCGGAGGCGGCTGCTATGCCAGGAATGTGAGAGTTTCAGGTTCCCCCTCGGGATCAAAGCGAACCACAAATAACCTCTCGGCTCCTCCGCCCTCCGCCTCCTTGCGTCCCCTCCTCCCGGCCCCCGCCTTCCTCCCGGGAGGCGGCGCTGCGGGCCTGTGCGTCCTGCCCGACACCGGAGGCCTCGTGGCCGCCCTGCGCCCCCCGCCGCCCGCTTCCCTTCCCAAGCCGCTGGGACCAAAGAGTGTGCACAATACCACGCGTGCCCGTGTGTGTGTGTGCGCGCGCGCCCTGCTCTGGACTTTGCTTTTGCTACTGAGCTTTGTCCCCAACCACACGTGCCCGTGTGCGTGTGTGTGTGTGTGTGTGTGTGTGTGTGCGCGCGCGCGCGCGTGCCCTGGTCTCGACCTGGCGTCCGCAACTGAGCTTTGTCCCGAACCCCCAGCTGTTTTTCACCACCCCACCGGCCACCTTTGAATTGCACTTTTATTGTTTATAAACACCTTCGCTGGGTTTTCGGACTTGTCACCCAAGGAAGTGTGAATCTGGGTTGCAAAGTCCTCTGGTTCATTTTACCCGCCGGTGAATCGGAATCCCTGGATGGCAGCGAGTCTGGATCTGGGGGTGACTGGCTGAATCAGCCGCTGTCGGTGTCCCTTCGTGCCGTGAGGCAGCCAGTCACCCTCCGAAGGGAGTTCTGTTAGGATCCTTGTGTTGTGAAAGAGGAAACCGAGGCGCAGGGAGATTAAGTGGCTTGCGCAGGGTCAAGCTGTTGTGATTGTTGCGTGTCGGAACCCACCCACAGCTGATGTCCAGCGACTTTTCAGGGACAGTAAATCAATCACATAGGAGGAGACTGCCCATCTTTCTCCTCCAGAGCAGCTAGCTAGTGGATTCCAACGGATTACTTCTGGGTTAGGAAGCTCGGGGAGCTTAGTGGTAAGAAGCTGTGTGGCAATCCCAAAGGCATGGTTGGAATCCACCGGCTTTTCCATAAGAGAAAGATGGGCAATCTTCTTCCGCACTATTAGCTACCTTGGAAAACATTCTGGAGGGTCAGCTGTGAGTTGGTTCCATTTGACGGCGCACAACAACACTATCTTTTAGGCTGGAAACACCACTCTTTACCATTAAGCCCTAGAGCTACAGAGTCACAAAGGAAGTGATGAAGACAGGTAACCACTCGCTTTGTCCAGTTTCTCATTCTCGAAACCCTTCAGTCACCACCAGGCTCAGGGCAGATGTGCTTTTTCTCTCCACCTACCCTCCCCTTGTTCTAGCCTCTGTCACGTCTTTCCGGTTGCGAGGATGTGTAAGAAAGTCAGCGTTGGGCCTTCTTTGTGTCCAATTCTCTTGCTGTTAAAGCACCTCCATCAGGAAGCTCCTCCTTTGCCCCCAGGAGACCCTTTCTCTGACCATCTTCCACTCACCTGCTGCTTCTTTGGAAATCCCACACCTTCTTCACAGGCATGCTTTTTGACACTCTCTGTTCTCCCTCCTTGTCCTCACAACAGTGTGTTCTGTTCGTGAGCTTTGAGTGACCTGGGCCACTGATACATCTACGTGGCGACTGTCCTTTGTCCATTAGAATGATCAAGACTAACTCCACTCTTCTCCCAACACAGAGTTAGCAATTTCCCAGAGAGGTCCAGGAACAATAAAACTCTACACACTCAAAAAGCTCTGTTAGTTAAGCGATGCTGATTTTTAAAATAAAGCTCTCCCAAAAAGTGTGCGTGGTTTACTTGGAAACCAAACATT